AAGAGGCTGCCCAGGGAAGTGGTTGAGTCACCATCCCTGGAAGTATTTAAAAGACGTGTAGATGAGGCGCTTAGGGACATGGTTTAGTGGGCATGGTGGTGTTGGGTCGACGGTTGGACTCGATGATCTTAGAGGTCTTTTCCAACCTTAATCATTCTATGATTCTAGGAAACTCATCCAGGGACACTGGAGAGATTTTATGAACAAGAAATCGCTTTTATAAGAAGCCATGAGACACTTTTTACTGCAGCCAAGGCAGAGCATTTAACCAAGAACATGAAAAATGAACAACAAAACCTGGCAAACACATGCCAAACGCAACAGATGTCTGGCACTCAACACTTTGGAGATAAACATAAAACCCTGTAGGACACTTGAAAGGGACTGGTTTTTATGAAGTGCTTAACACCCAAATTCAAAAAGGACATAAAAAGTTGTAGGCAATACTTACATCTATCGAAGAGGCCTCACACACTGAGCACCCAAAAATCAACAATGTACTTAAAATGCATGCTGGTGTACTACAGATTTAAATTGCTTTCTTAGCTTCATACCCAAGTGCTTCACACTCAAGTGCTTCACTTAGCCCTAGTGACTCCTCTTCTCATATCCTCTGCTCTGGACAATGAAGCCGCTGCTATTTTAACAGCACCTGTGAGATTATGGGTCTCTCAACACATCCAGCTTCAGAAATCCAGAGGGGAAAAAAATAAAAAAAAGTCATGTGTTTCCAGCAGCCTGAAGGTTGGAAGTTTCCCTTCTCTCTCGCATCCTGCCTTCCTCAGCCATGTGGTCCAGCCAGCACAGAGTGCCACAGGAACAAGGACCTGTCTGAAGACTCTTCTGTGGGTCACCTGTTCTACTACTTCTCCTGGGAACTGCAGAGGCCCTCAGGCCAAAATCATCACAGGAAATGTGTGACCCTTATTGCCTTTCTCAATCAGGGTTATGGGGTGCCCTTCAGGTTTTTCAGTGTCTTGGTTTTCCTCCTTTCCTCCATGGCATAGCAAGGCGGTTTCCAGCACTCACACAACTCACCCAGTCCTCCCTTGTTCCTAAATGACCAGGACAGCTTAGGAGGACCAACACAGTTAGTTTTGTTTCATCAAGAAACAGGAAGCTGTAGCAGTAGGCTGTCATACCAGTCTCAACATCAAAATAGAAACAGGCAAAGAAGCAGAAGTCCCCTAGCCTGCGAGCACACATCCTTCCTGCACCAAAAGGAGGGGAAAAGCATCGTACAGGCAGGGATGGCCCCCTGAGCTGGTCCCAGGGTGAATAGCACTGCAGGAACAGACATCTCCAGACTCAGGGAGATGGGTGCCTCAACAAGGGCACCGGGTCCCACGTTGAGGTCGTGCTGCCCCGACACTCTACCTCCAGCAGCATCCAAGAGCACTGCCAAGGAAAGGGGTGTCTAGCACAAACCTGCAGTGATACATCCCAAAAATACTCTTCCAGCAATTTGCAGCCAGGACCTTCCTACGCCACAGTTGTTGTTTTCAGCCTGGCCTTTTGAAAACAGGCTTTATGCCACCTTTTTTCCCCAGCAGTTTAAAAGCAAGTTCATTTCAACACTAAGTTTTTCAAAGGATTAAAAAAAAAAAAAAAAAATTAATGCACACTAAAAGTTCTGTAACTTGAGGCTATTTTGGGTCATGCTGGATTTGCCACACTCTCTCTGGTCCACACACGCTTCTTCCACTTGCACGCGGAGGACACAGCATATTTTAATCAGCAAATACTGATAAAACATGCACATTTTATCAGACAAGGATCTCCAATTCATGCAACACATTTCAAGCAAGACAAGTGCTAGAAGCTTAGCAACAAATGTATTCAATATCAAACAGGTCTAAAAGACTCTTGCAGCTCTGAGACAGAAAAGCACTAGAGCATCCTTTGGGATGCTGGTTGAAGAGCATGGCATACTATGAATGTATAGCAGATAGTCCGGCTTGTGCAAAAAGGACTTTGGTGGAGCTGAACCAAGATCTTGGTGGCTCACCATGAAAAAACAGCCCTCAGCCTTATACTGAGCCTAACTCCCTCAGCTGCGCTTTACATCATATAACACCTTGACTGTTGTCCCTTCCAACCTAAACTACTCTATGATTCTATGAAATGAAACCCCATTGACATGCCAGGCAGCTTGAATCTTCGCCTTTCTAACCCCGGGCTATTTTGTTGTTCATACCTAGGCTTTGACCACAGTTGTGAAATAGGTGGCCCAGCCTTGCAATGTGCTAGCAGGTATATACCCTGTTTTGCCCTGGGTAGAAGGAGAGGCATTTGGATTCCAGCACTGCTAATCCTGCCCTGTCTTACAAAAACAACTGGGGAGGAGGGGACAGAAGTATCTCAAGGGAGAAACCTGCAGACTGCAAACGGCTTGGAAAAAGGGAGCAAGAGCAAGGCAAACCCTCAGGGGACACACAGCCTCGTGACTCAGTGAAACGGCCCCTCACCATCACTCCTATTTGCCACATGTGCTACACATGGGAAAAGATCCTGTGAACTGCCAAAGGCAAGGTAGCATGCAATGACTGCAGCACGGCCAGGCACAACCCCTCCTGCAGGTTACATACTCTATCCCCAGGCCTGGGATTTCCCTAGCATGGAGGAAAAGGATCCCACGATAAGCAGCTGCCCTGCAGTTTCTAAGGGCCCTTCTCCTCACTGGTAATGTCATGGCCTTTTCCATCACCCCCTGCTCCCCATGCACTAAGCAAGGTCACAGCATGCACCAGACCTTCCAGCTAGATCCCAGGTTTATAGCCTATACCAGCCACAGCCAACTTGCAAAGCATTTTCTTTCCCATCACATCTTGGAGTGACATTTCTAGTTAGAAACACCTTAAATCATCTATCACAGCAGTATCAAGGCTCTGCCTCTCTGTCCAGCTCATGCTGGCTATCCTCACGAGCAGGGCTGACCAGATTTCATTCAACCAAGCCCCCCATGGTGGCTGAATGAGTGACCCCGACTCCACATGCTGCCTAGCTCTTGTCACCTAACTGTGGCCCAACCTTTCTTTTCTCTAAAGGAGTTAAAAATGCTTCGTCTCAAGACACAAAGGCTCCCCGCTACCTGAGTGGTACCATGCTCCTGCTCCAGGTCACTGTGGTGCCAGTCCCATCAGTGCATATGTTTTAGGAGAACAGGGTGTCTTACTCTCGGCAAAACTCTCTAGCTCCTTTATTCTGAATCAAGCACAGCATATCATCCACGTCATGTGTGGATCAGCCAGGAACCCAGAAGTCAAAATGGAAGAGGTCTGGGTGAAGACCTCAGCTGCCCATGGAAACAGCTGCATCCCACTTACCCAAACACCTGCTCAAAGCCTGCCTCAGCACTGAGAGGCAGACACACACATTTGTCCTGTAAGGAAGTCTTTAACTCTCGTGGTGCAGGACATCTACTGACAGGCATGTCATGTTTTAATGGCTGAAACATCACAGCAGTGATTGCTCACACAGAACGCCAAATATGTTGGAATGCTGGTCTGATTTCTTCCATGGGCCACTCTCAGTGGTGGTACAAGGCGTGGCAACTTGGCACCCTTTTGTCTTCCCTGCACAACCTACTAAGCCCTCACTTCGTAGGTGGTGGCAAAGAGCTAGCTGTGCTCCTGTCTACTGCGGTACGCCAGGGCCCGCCGTGTTGTCTGCTGCAGGGAACAGACCCACTGCTTGGCAGAAGTGAGGAGCAATGAGGACATCATTACCTTCCACTGTCCGAGCAGAGTACAGAAGAGACACTATTTGAAGAGACAGAAAGTCACAAACAGCTGCGAGCCGATGAGTCACACAGACATATGTTAGCTGCTACTTTAAAAGACTCCAGAACAAAAAAAATTAGGTACATGAAAAAACTAGATCCTCAACCTGTGTCAGTCCACAATCTCCACTGAAGTTGCTGAGCCACTGGTCTGCAGCAGCCAAGACTGACATGGTATGTTATGGGAAGTTGTTAAACCAAGTAGTCGTGGCAGAGCTTTGCATTTTCAGTGAGGCTCCACCCCATCACTGCTGATGGGAAGAGTCAGGATCATATCCCAAGCAGGCTGTTTTCTAACTACTGTGACTGAGGACTGGAGACAGTGCCCTTTGCTGGCTGTCTCTGGAGAGAGGTCTCGGTCTGAAGTGAGACACAAGTGTCCTCCAAATTGCAAGGGAAATATCTTGGTGAAAACAGCATTAAATACTCAGGGTCCAGCCCCTCTCAACTGCTCAGCTAGCATCTTTTACTCACATTTAACTCACATGAACCAACCCCCACTTGCAAGCTAAGCAGATGATTTTATTCCTTCAGCATTTATTTGCAGGTTAGCTGCTGGGCAACGCTGCAAGTAGTGCCCTTTGTCAATTCAGATTCACTACCTCTCTAAAAGTATTTTCAAGCTACAAAAGGACAAGAGGGATAGTAAGTTTGGGGTCTACTGAACTCGACTTGTCATCTGTTCAAGCCAGAAAGAGCATAACAGCATCCTGTTGGATGCTGAGGACAAGTGTCCTCCCAGCAGCTGTTTGAGCAGTGATCAGTGCCATTGGGTTCCTCTCAAATATTTTGCCTACAAATTCTGGATCTGCTAACCTTGGCTTAGATCTGGGACTATTTTTAGAAGCTTGAATAAAAAGCAGTCATCCAGTGGAGTGCTTTTCAATTCCTATTTTAGACATTACATCCTTAGCCCAAATGTAATCACCAGGTGAGCTGTTCAAGGTCACTCATATTTCAGTCATCACATCACCCCATTCCACCTTTGCCCTGATGTCTCACCAGACTTGTCCCAAGAGCTGGTATCTTTTAAGTGGAACGTGAAAGGTCTGCATCCCGTACTCACCCATCTTTGGAGAGGTGATGCCGGAAGAAGTCATTGGCTGCTAGTTTGATAGCCTTTTCTGGTGTCACTAGAGTCAGGTTCACTGCAGCCCCTGGGCAAAGAAAAGAGGAAAAGGCCATTGGAGAATGAGAATAAAGGAACCATTAACTGGATCTTTCAGGAATGTGCTGTAACTCCTGCTCAAAACCAAGGACTGATGAAGAAGAGCTCCCAGTGTACCAAAGGGGTTTAGAAACATGAAACACCATTGGAAATTAATAGGATTTCTGTATCCCAACACCTTGGGTTTTTGAAAACATCCCCTGATGTGTTTCTACTCCATTTGCAATATGTTTTTTTGTAATTTCTTTAGCTTCACTACTACCTCCCACCACGCATACATGCATCCTCTTCTCTCATCCAAGGATGCATTCCTATGAATCCAGAAGGATGCGGACCAGACCTTCAAGAAAGGAGTACAAGTTGGATTAATAACCAGTCCCAACTCCTTTGCAAATATTTTGTGATGCTGAGAAGCAAAAGCCCCCCCGCCCCACCTTCTTGCTAGTGTCCCTGCCCCACCACCACCAAAACCAGAGCAGCTTGCTTACCAGGCAGCCCAGAAAAGGCAGAGCCAGTTGATTTCAACCAGCCTCCAGGTCTTTCAACTGGCTTATCTGCACAGAAGTCAGACAGCTCTAGACCAACCCTTGGAGTTAAGGGGCTTCCCTTGTCTATCACCACTGGGTGTCACCCTCAGAACAGCCACTGCTGAAGTGGCTTTTTGTCCACCACACACTGCAGCGTGCAGAAATTCCCCTCTGAGCACTGTGGCAAGGCTTGCCGGGGGACCTGGGGTGTAAACAAGCCTTGGCTCCCCCACGCACTGGAGTGCCCTTTTGTCAGGAGCAAACAAACAGCAAATCCCTGTATTGTGCCTGCCACAATGAAAGGTCTGCGTGGCCTGGCCGGCTGCTGTGGGCCATGGACACCGGCATTAGTGCAACACAGCAGCTGGGAGGCAGCTTTCAAGCTGCCCTGGGGGAAATGGGGTGAGGGGACGGCCAGTCCCTTCTGAGCATACTGGGTTTTGCACCATTAGATTAATGCTCCAGAACATTCTCCTCCCTTTAAATCTTATGGCTCAAAAAGTCCTCCAGTGGATGACCGCAAGCTCTCCCTGCCTGCACTGAAGCATACTGAGCTCCAAGCCCTCTGGAGAAGCTTCACTTGAGACTTGCTAATGGCCTATGAACACCTTTGCAAGGACAAACACAAATACTAGGGCATACCTTTTGCATTCATGCTTGCTGTAGAGATTTAAACAACTTGTCCCAAAGCTCCATTTTCCAAAGAGAAGCAGACAGAGAAGCCTGCACTCCCACTAGGCTCTGAAGACCTGGCAGGGTTCCTTTTCAGCAGGTTTGAACACAAGTTGACAGGAGTTATAAGGGCTCAACACACCTAAAGAAAGGCAACTCAATCCTCTGTTCCTCAGGATGGACTCTTCTCCCTCCAAAAATTATTAAAGAACTCTTAAATTACACATGGAAAGACATAGGTTTAGGGGGACTTTCCTCAGATTAGGAAGCAAAGTCGCAACTGGGACTTCTGGGGACCAGTACAACCGGGACCAGGACATGGAAATCCTTGGCTCCACGTCCTCTGCTCAGAGGACACATGTCCATCATGTGGGAAATCACAGCAAGAAAACAGACAGCCTTTGCTGGGCAGCCCAACACGTCTTCCCCCCTTCTGACTGTCACGTTCAGATTTTGCAGAAAATAGAGAGTAACACTGCCTTGTAGCAAGCTAAGCCAATGCATTCATTCCACACTGGCCATGACATCCAATAAATGCCATCATCTTCTACAGGAGCCAAATTAACTACCCAGGGAGCAGGGCAGCCCTCTCACACTCCTGGGTTTTTGCAAACTTTTAAGTGTACCAGCGATTGCCCTGCTTCAGTTTGATGTGCTTCCTACACATCATGTCCCCCTGCCATGGCTCTTGCATGGGATGAGAAGCCACACAGACATGACCCTCATGCTCTACCTCCACCTTTTAATGTCAATCATATCAGGATCTACAAAGCAAATCCACACAGCCTGATTTTTAAGTGGAAGTGGCTACCCGTGAAGTGTTTCCTCGAATGCCAAATTGAAGACAACTTCAACCCCGCTCCTAATGGCTAGAAAGTAAAACACCTGTACATTACTGACATGCAGCATGAATAACCATTTCCTTGGAAAAACAAGGAGAGAAAGAAAAAAGAATAAACCCGCTACTCTAACACCAGTGCAAAGGGTTCATTGAAAGAAAGAAAACAAACTGCAAACCATCAAGCAAGAAAGGTAAGTGAGAAATACGCTTCCACATGCTGACCTCCTCCAGGAACCAAGAGGCTTTCACAGCAATTTCTTCTTCAATTGCAAATAAAATAGAGGGTAAAAACCACACAATATACAGAGAAAAGTTAATGAACCTGGGTTTTCTCCTACATCTTTTGATATTTTCAGTAAAGCTGCTTAACAGAGAATGGATAATCCCTGTCCTCAGTAATCCATAACAGCTTCAATTCACTAGAGGAGGAGAAATGAGATACTTCAGCTGCTGGCTGTATGCTTTCCACGGCATTTTCCACCTTTTTACAAAATCTCATAGCTCTTCAATTCTAGCTATGCCAATAATTCCATTTCCTTCATTAAAGCTAACCTTGGCCTATAGGCAATGCTACATGTACCAGAAGCAATGACAGACAAACAGAATGCAAAAATAAATTGCAATCATTAAAAAAATAAGTGTTTTGAGAAGAAGTACGGAAGCACTACAAAGAATGAATCAAGTAGAGACAAAATCAGCTGTTTGCCAATTGAACTTTTAAGTGCCCTCTTTTCACTGAGCCTTGGGTTTTGTTATTAAAACACATTTCTCATAGAAGCCCTTGTATACCACCAGCAACCTACGTAACAGGGGGACTGAATCATCCCCAGTGCGGCACTGGTGCACGTGGGAGGTATTATCAGCAGAGGCCAGGGAAGGCTGCCATGCTACTGTAGCTAAACTGCAGCTAACCTCCAAATGTCATCAAACAGCAAAGGGCATTTCCCCAGCCTGGTCTAGGCCTTTGACTTCCACCACCTAGGCTAAATGGCTGGTCTGCAAATAGCAGTGGGACTTTCCAGGATGCGTGCTGAGATCTATAGGTGGCTTCTGGATGGACTGCAGCAGGGAGTAGAGAGCGCACCCCTCCAAGGTCCTTTTCCACTGGTGTCCACATGGTCCAGGAGCCCACAGGCACCATGGATTCATTTGCCTGGCATCATGTCTGAAGGCAGCACACCGTCATCCCTTGCACACAGACAGGGCTAGACAGCACAACCCAGCTTTGATGCACTGCTGCTACCTAGATGTTACGGAAAAAACATGAGAAGAAAAACCTCCTCTTCTTCCTCCCCCAAACAAACCCAAGAATCCCTGTAACTTTTGGGGAAGAACTTGAGAGAAATGTTGGGATTGCCTTCTACATCACACAATTCACTATGGGCTACTCATACAGAGCAAGGACTGTCGCCCACATGCACCCCTGAAGAGATGATTTGCAGAAAAGCATCCTACAAGCTCAAGCCTCTCTCCTGTCTGCACTGAGGAGCTTTGATTCACACGTGAAGGAGACCTGAAGTCACACAGTGGGAATTGCTGCACCCAAGCAGACCCTTTCTGTCTTCCGACAGAGGCCAAGTGCCCTGTAGGGACGACTGATGCGCTTGTGACTCCTCCATGGGGCACAGCAGCTGCCACTTTAGCACATTAACATATAATCCTCCCAATCTCATCTTAAAGGCTGAAAATAAGAGCTTGTGAGTCATACAGCAACTTCTGCTGAGGAACTGGGACATATGGAGGGAGCAGGAACCAATCCCACCATCTGATTTCCATCTTCCCCTGTCTGCAAGCCTGAGCCAGCTCTTTACCTTCTTCCCAGAAAAGTACTCACATTCTTCAGGAATCTTGGATGTATTTTACCCATCCATCCTCTCCCCGAGAGGGAGGGAAGGGCTGCTAACGTCAGCTCACAGAACTGAGGCACAGAGACCAGGACTGCTGTCCTTGGAGGACTCACTTTTGCACCCTGGCCATGAAATATCTATAAATTTCTGGAAGGAGCTGGAGCTATTCACAAAAGCCCTCTCCAAACCCAGGTCCCCATTTAATAGTCAGAGGTGACAAGTAAATTCAAGCCACTATGAGCTCCCTGAACAGAGGGGGTACAAAGTTAGTGGGACATGGGCCAAGCTGACCAGACTCATAACGGCTAGGAAAAGCAAGAGCTATGCAAAAGCCTCTGCACCCTTTGACATTTCTGCTTGGGAGTCAAAAGTGGCCTGGAGAGGTACATCCCCTTCACCACCCTACGCCTTACAGAACTGAGCTCTCTCTCCCAAAAGCCCTGATGGGTCTTACAGTCTCCCCTGTAAGTTTCCAGGAACAGCTTCTTCCTTCTGCTCCCCAGCAAGCAGCCTGCCACTGCATATTTACAGCCAAAGTTAATGCAGGCTCCATTCCTGGCTAGGAACACAGAAGCAGCCAGCTTCTGGGAAAAATCAAGGGAGAACGCGTCACTGCTAGCATTGAAAATGGAGCTTGCCAGGGTTCCTCAGGGTTATTTGTCTTGTTGCCTGCTCCCAGGAAAGCTGGCACAAAGCAGCCAATCCACCCCCGGCATCCACCCCACTCCCCTGAAACGCCCACCAGCAAGTTGGGCAAGAGATGTTGCCTTAATAGCCAGTGCCTGCTCCCAGGACGGCCGGCCACAGCATCTGTGTTTCCTTAGGAGCTATGGAAGAAGTGGCAAGAGACACTACTGCTGCCAACAGCAAGGCACCAGCATCTCCAGACTCACACTTGAAAAAAACAAAGAGCAAGGACTCACTTAATCAAAGCAGTACTTTAATCAGGCTTTATCAGTGAATGAGTGCCACAAAGAATGCTATCTGAACGCCTCAGAGATAAAAACTGCATATTCAGGCAACTGAATACCAGTATATAAAATGAACCAGAGTTCAGCATCAGCTAAGCCAGTTGGACTGTGCTAAAAGCCAAGAAGGTATTCCACGTTTTCTTCTGCTACGAGTAAAGTCAGAATTTGGCCTGCTGTCCCTCTCTCCTCAGAATCTTTAAAAACTTTCAAGGATTTTGTGTTTAAACTAGAAAAGGTATAATGACAACTGAGGAACTCACTGTTGCAACAGACAGCCTAAGCCAAGGAGCCAGGAGATTTCTAGCAGGTTAGCACACAATGATGAAGCAGCTGAAGCTCTACCATGAGTCAACCTCTGATTTTCTTAGCACTCCAAGGGAGTTTTTTCTGGGGGCAGGTTATTTTTAATTTTTTTTTTTTTTTTAATTGCAGCTTATCTTATTGCTTGAACAAAGCACTTGGTCATGCTTGAGACACAGCTAGTTTTGGAGACAAGCTACCAGCTAGATGGGACAGCAGGCCTGACCACGTTGGTGGTGGGCTTTGTGGTTGATGATTGAATTTATGTCAAAGTAAGACACTTCAAGAGGTTTGCCACTGCCCCTCTGACAAAAGTTACCATGCCCAAGCTGGGAAACACACACAAACGGTCCGGAAACAAAGTCCAGCAGCTTCACTTAAACGGCTAGTAAAGATGAACTTCAGTAAATGGTAAAGGTTTGCACCAAAACAGCCATGGGGAGGACTCAAGCCCTCAATGGTGGAGAGCTGAGCAGACACCTGGCATTTTCAGAAACAGCTGCACCTTTCAGCATCTTAGGATATTGCTAGGTTATTGCTTTATAAGCCATAGAATGTGGGCTTTCCCTCCCACTTACGCACCAGTGCTTCCAATGCAAAAGCTGCATTGTGCCTGACTCAGCTTTACTTACCTCTGTACATGCCAAAGTAGCCTTCCGACCGAATTGTTTTAATGAGGCAGTCAGACCTGCAAACAAAACAGAGAGAGATAAACCACAGGAGCTCAGAGGTGGGTGAGAGCAGAGATAAACAAAGCAAATCTCTTGGAGTGGTTTTCATTTACGATCTGTCAGCAAAACCCTGAGCCGAGAAGGGAACCGCGTCAGCCGCTGAATGCGCCATTGTTCAGGCCTGAGTCCTATTTCAGCCCCTAATTCACAGGGGCTTTGAAACCCCCGGCTCACCCCGCACGCGCTGTCTGCTTTCTAGAAACACAAAAGGGAAAAATGTCACTGCAAGGGCTGTTTATCCAGGGTCCCCTGTGGCAAACGCGCATGAGATGCTCTAACAAGCAGATCCCCATGCACATGTTTTTAAATCCAGCTCTGGAAGGGAAAGAAGGGGGGCCAAAACCCCCAATGATGACTTGCTTGACTTACTCCATGAAATTCAACACAAGACACACAAATACTAGATGACCTGAACGCTCAGTCATCTGTGACCTCCCACGCAGACTAAAGCACTTACTTTTAACACATCGGGTCCCACAGCAGGCAGCGAGCGCTCAGGCTCTCGCACTGGGGAGAGTGTGGCAGGGTGCCGCGGAGTCCCGCTCCAAGGGGAAAACTGTCGCCTTCTTTGTTTCAACTACATTTACTGCAAATGGGAAAACTGTGCAGAGTGCCAGAATGGCTCAAAACCTTTCAAAGGCACACACACAACTAACAAATCCATAGGCGCAGTTCAGGAAGGCAGTGCAAATCCCCTGGCAGAGTTTCCCTCTCTGGACCACAGCTGCAAGAAGCCAGGGCACGGGCTGAAGGTTGCTTTGGGATCTTTGGGAAGGGACAGGTACTTGCCGTGGCCATAGGGGAAGGGAGAGGTGCACATGCATGCATGCGTACATAATTAAGGAACAAAAGGCTCTTAAGTAGTAATAAGGGAAGTATAGCTAATGAAAACAAGAATACATTTCTAAGAGATTTGACATCAAAAGGAGTAAACTTCATCTCCACTCTGTAGTAGTGCTGAAGTGGGAGAGAAGGGAATACAGATTTCCCTCGAGGGCCTTATGGCCCTACTTGAGCCAAGACTGTTTTAGGGTACCCCACGTTATTTGTGAAGAGCCCATCCTGCATTGCTGCCACTAGCAACAATGGGTTTCCCCTCTCTGCTGGGACTCCCCACATCCTTCAGGACCCTGTCTTTCACACACCCCACCCCAGCTCCTGCAGCTTGCACGCACCCATCTCGTTCTCGGGAGCAGCCCCCCCAACACATTTGCAAGCCCCTGAAATCTCAGGGCACCTTTCTCCTATCCCCCCCATCAAGCTCTTCCACCACAATGCTGGAGGCAAGGCATTTTCTCTGAGCCAGCGGTGCTGCTTTGAACAAGCTGCAGGAAGAGCTGCTCCCCACCATGCTCACGTAGCCCTGCTGCCTCACCATAAGGCTTATATATCACTCCCAGCCCCTCGAGCTGTGGCAGAGAGAGATGGAGCCAAAGGCCATGCCCAGCTCCTTTCTCTCCCTGGAAAAAGGGAGCCCACAGCCAATTAAAGTTATACATAATATACCTGGGGCAGCACAGCCCAAAAGCCCAGCTCTCTCCAGCCCTCAGGGCTGCTCCAAAGTGTCTTTGGCTCTTTCAAAGGAAAGGCTCCCCTGATGCCAAAGGTCTCTCGAGCTAAGCAGAAGCAAGGCATGCTGTCTTAAAGCAAGACAGCCAAAATTTTAAATGAACTTGCTGCCTTCCTGGGTGTTCAGCAGATATGTTTGAGATCTGGTATATGATGGGCATACAGTATTTCCTGAAAAATAAGCCCCCGTAACTGGGGAGCTCAGACAAGCCCTCCAAAATCCCTAGCTAACGTAAGGGTGTCTCTGAAGACATGCTCCATGCATGGTAACAGCATCCTCTTAATGCCTTTCCCTTGCTTGCTTAGGTAGGACACAGGATGGTCTGATGTTATCTAGAGGATATGTTATCCCCATTACTTCCTTGTCCCTGCTGACCCCTCGGCCCCCCAAAAGACCCTTTCACTTATCACCACCAGCTTTTTTTCTTACCACCCCCAGCCCACGCCCCCTTCCCCTACAGCTGCTGCCAATGCCAGAGAAACACCTCCAGCATTACTCATTCACATCCAAAGGCATGCTTTGTCGCAGACTCTTAGGAGGAGCCAGCTCAAATATACAGGGTAAATCCTGTGTATTCCTTAACAGCGCCTCATCCCACAACAACTCCCAGCTACGGAGCAGATCTGCACTCGACTGCTGGAGGTTAAAAGCCTCTCTCCTACTGAGCCCCCCCCCTCCAGAGATGAGGCATCCTGGCATGCACTCCTAAGGGGAGCCTACAAATCCTCCATCCTGCCCAAACTCCTGATGCTGTCACCTATCAGGTCAGGGGGAGAAGTGATCCTCAGGGAGGAGAAGCAATCCACAGCAGCGGCAGGAGCAGGACACAACAAAAAGAGAGGCAAGGCAAGACGGGAGGCCGAGTCCTGCCAGCATGCCTGAGCACACAAACAATGCAGAGAGCGCTGTAACTGTCAAGGAAAGCACTAGTCTGCCGTGGCACACCAGAGCCTACAACCTAAGCTCATGCATAATCACATGTTGTCGGATAGAGCAAGGAGGCCCGGAGACCAAAACCATCAACATACAGAGCACTTCCTTCCTATTCCCACTCTGCCTCAAATTCTCCTGGGCAGGAAAGAGGAAAACATTGGTGTGGAGGAGCAGAGAGCCGGCAACACTACTTCTGAGCAAAGTGGCAGGAGAACAGGACACACATCATCAGTCCCCATCCCTTCTCCCCCCTCAATGACACCAGTACTTTTAGAAAACTAAGGCCTGACTCTGGTTCCTAGTATAAAGCATCTTGTGCTGAGTGTGGTGCACATTCCCATAGCAGATACACAGCCCTAAGCATTCCACATAAACCCCAGGTGAATTTGGTGGGCTGGATATATTCATGCCTTCTTTTCCTGCAAGCACTTGATTTTTTTGGACACAGGACTGCCAGGGTAACTATAGCATGTGTCAACCTGTGCTCCTTCAAAAGATCTGCATGCAGTGCTCTAGACTGGGAATGGATGACTGCTTCCTCTTTTTAAAACCGTCACAGCAAAGGAAGGGATAGTAACTTCCGATATGACAGTCATGGAAACAGAAGAGAGCCAGAAATTCCCTCATGCACCTGATTGTGGCCCAGCAGAGAACCGAACAGGGCTCCTTGTGTTTTGGTCCTGAGCCCTGACAGCAGCGAGCACGCTGCTCCCAAGCAAGGGATGCAAACAGATGTACCCTCTGCAGAGATCTCGCTTGCTGGGCTCGGCAGCCTGAATAGTTGCTTTATTTCATTTATCTGCTCTAGCACAACTTGGTTCAAGATTGTGCCCTGGCTTTCCTGGGGACAGTCCAGTTCCTAGAAATGCTGAACTCACCTGAAAGAGGTAACAAAGTGGAAGGACTTCCCACCAAAAGCTGCGGGGGATGCTGCCCGTGCGGGCGGTACTCACATGCTGGTGTACATCCGCTGGCCATTCTGCTGGTTCTGCAGGCGAGTTTTTGCCAGGTCAATGGGAAATACACAGGTGACCCCGATCAGCCCAGCTATCCCTCCATTGATCAGCTTGGCAGGTAAACTGTAGGGGGCAAGATGCAGAGAAACAGATGTCTTAGCACTGGGATAACACCATTAATGGAGCTCTTTTGCATGACCAGAGTTAACACATCGCTGTGCGACAAGGCTGTCCCCCCCAACTTGAAGGGAGCTCTGCCTCAAGGCAAAGCTTGGCCCTTGCTGTACATACAGGGGAGGAGGGGAAAGCAGCACATAGCATGAGGACAAACCACCGATGGGTGGAGTGGAGCCAAACAGCTAAGCCACACATCACTAAGAGCAAGAAAAAACCCTGTTCCCCAGGACCCAAGGGTTTCTGTTGTCCCTAGAGGAGAAAAGACAGAGTGCTGGATTGTCTACCATGTGGACAGACTTAAGTTAGGGCCTGATGGCATCCAAGCCAGCAGGTTTAATGGCAAATGCTTTTCAGCACCGCAATCAGATATGCATCTAACGAGAGGTTCATGACATGTCAACTGCTACCATCATGTGGGAACAAGCCCAGCAGAAGCACCCAGCTGGCAGCCGAGGAGCAAACAGCTGCAGCTCCAGGAAAATGTTTCCAGACCCACTGCCCGGGGCGAGGGGAACACACGCAAACCAATAGCCTGGCAAAGCCACTGGACTGGTAGCCTGCACGGCCACAGATGCAGAGATGTGAGCTCATACATCTTGGGGAAATCAAAACCTTGTTGGCTGCATGGGCTTCCAAAATGCACGGCTTTTTCCATTTGCCTTTGTGTTCCCACAGGGAATTCTTGCAAGTGGCACTGAGTGAAAGCCAGATCAGCTAAACATGGGTTCCCAGCAAATTCAATTACGAAAAATGTACAGCACTTATATGCTCGATAAACCACTACACACAGAGACAAAGGAAGCCTGTTTGAGTCAGCTCCTTCCAATAAAGCACAGGACATGGCTCCCGGAACACAGGATGTGTCGGATATTAAACCGACGGCTGACAGCAGTCCTAGATTGCAGCTGGCTGAGCCAGCGAGGCTGAGTCCTCCTACAGGGGCAATGGGCACACTGCCTTTCATGACAGTGACATGATGCTCTGGATGGGGGCACAAACTGCATTACCCACTGGAAGCAGCAGCAGTGAGGCTGGCTGTGGCATGGTGGGGTGAGGCTCTGCAAACACGTTCCCTGCCAGTGGCATTGCAGAGTGCTCTGCGTCAAAGGGCAATTGCAGAGAGGATCAATAAGCAGCTGTGCTGAAAGAGCTGCCTCTCAGCTCCAGGCTTGAGGGAAAGGCAGGACACGGAGACTGAGGGTTTCAACTTGAGGTGTCCCTGGGGGAAGCAGGCAAAAGAGGGGTGGGGGGAAAAAAAAAAGTCTTTGCCCACAAGTGTTAAGCATGACCTTGACACTCCAGGAAACTCCTTTCAGCCTCCGCTCTCCTGCAGCCAGAGCTCCTTCCTCCTCAGCACCCGCACCGATACAACATACACACACAGCCCCAGGGCTGGCATAGCTGGAAGAAGAGGTGCCAAGGACAGGCAGACAGACCTGAGCTCAGCCCACATCCCCAAACAAGATGGTGCTGACAAAGATTAAATCAAGTACAGCACGTTAGGAAGGCAGGCCCAAATCAGTGCATGAGCTCAGCACAGGGCCAGACTGCAAGATCTCACCAGCTCGAGACTCTGTTGCCTCAGGGATCTTTGCACCACAGTCTGAGAAGGTCATAGATTTGCCTGCAAACTCCTACGCTCAACTTGTTCTCAGGACATGGGAAAATTTCAAACAGTAAGCTTCACAGCATGGCGCCCTCCTTATTTAACCCATAGTCACACTGAAAGAGGATGTTAGAGACCAGATAAAAGCGTGTCAAGATGGAGGCACCACTGGGAAAGAGGATGTTTCAAGACAGGATCACATCAGTCTCCCCAAATTCAGCTCTGAAGTCACTGCTGGCAGGTCACAGACTGCAAGGCACAACTGGTGGCCCTTTCCAGCCTCAGCACTGTCATCGCTTCTCTAAATGTCCCTGAAACACCCGGGGTAGGCAGACACTTGCCTCTCTCAAACTGTTCCAACAGTGAAATCATCACAGGGTTTATATCAGGTGGGAGTGAGACACAGACACATGGCAAACATCTTGCCAGCTGTTGCCAGTAAGTGCAAAAGATTCCCCAATTTCAGCACAGACCCCAGCAATAAAGGGGAATAGTCTGATGTGCCTGGGCAAGCCAAAAATTTGGGCAACGCAGGCTACAGAGAGCCTCTCACTCTGTGGGTGAGAAACCCTTGCTCAACACCCCCATCGCACCTGAATCCAACCATCCAGGCTCCCCCATGCACACTGTGGAGGGAGACTAGAACAGACGGACTATGCGGCAGTATCTGGCAAGATGCTGAGATCA